CTCACCACTGTCCTCTCCCCCCCCCCCCCTCCCAATAATTTTGCTCCTCCCTACTGAAGAATTTTTGATCCAAGCCATGCTTCTTAACCTAATTTTTTTAAATAGTGCTTTACATTATTTTATTTTTTTAAAGATGAATTTAGTGAATGTTGAATGTAAGGAAACAAGACATTACAAGAAAAAAAAAAAAAAAGGGTGAAGTGGTTGGAGAAGGCAGGAGAAGTGAACAATCTAGGACAACATAGCTGAACTGGAAAGTGAGCTGAAATGTTCACTTCTCCTAATAGATAAAAAAAACAAAGTATCCAGCGCTAATCACAACAGTATCATACACAGTGTCCTTTCAGAAAGAAGTGCATTCAGTGATCCAAAAGTGCTTTCAGGCCTGGTTCACACCTAGGAGTTTTTGAGCAGTTCGAAAAGCGCTTTTAACTGCCCAACACAAGAAATCCCATGATTTCCAATGGCCCTGGTTCACACCTGAGCAGAAAAACTCCAGCAGAAAAACGCCAAACACCTGAAAAGGTACAGGAGCTTCTTTGGGCAGTTAAAAGCACTTTTTTCCCCACAGACTTCATTGGAAATGCCCCAAAACGCGCAACTTTTTCATAAGCATTTTTGCGCATTTATACGCGCGTTCTTCGATTGCCCACAATGGTTTATGAGGTAAAACGCGCCCAAAATGTGCAAAACACGCAAAAATGCACAAATAACCGCATACTGTTAAAAAGTATAAAAGCGCAAAAACGGTGCCGCCTAGGTGTGAACCCAGCCTCAGTGATCCGTATGGTACAAATAAAGTCTCTGTAGATAAAGTGCTCCTAGAGTGTATTCCAGAAGATCAATCTTCCCATCTGTGTGTGCCACCAGTGACATAAACCGCACTGACAAGATCGGATGGACCATTAAACCGGCACAAAGGGAAGTGAGGAATCGTACAGCGGATATGACCACTGACACCAGTGGTGGTACAATGATTATAACTATGATTTACAGTATAACAACCAGGCATAGTGGTAATCTTTAATTAGAAAGTTTCCCTATGTGGACCTAATTTTCAGATGGGTAGTTGTGCACAGATGGGAAGCAGGATCTAGTTTCTCCTTCTGCTGATTCTGCCTTCTCCTTCTGATTGGCTCACTTACTTTCCCATAGGTCTGTGCAGAACTTAAGGTACAACCTTGGAACTGTGCTTAACATTACTTCAGGAAGCATTTTGTTTTACATACTTGCCATATATCTACAGGGTAGCTCGGGATACACTATTTCTCCTAATGCAACAGTGGACCTGATCATGTGGTTACACAAGTCAACTCAGCACATGCTTTACACTTATTATTGCCATGGGCGATCTCAGTAGCAGAAGCAGGTAAGGATCTGCAAAGAAGTTTGATAAACTCCTTATAATGTATATAATTAGCATGCAGAAGGTTTTCTTTTTTTCTCAGTAAAAGAGAAGTTTTGCCTTAATGAACTAGAATCCTACATATTTTCCATAACTGTGATTATTAATGACAGAACTACATGTTTAAAAAAAAAAAAATCAGTTTGGGTGTAATTCAAGTCTTCCCACATGTCCTAAGAGGGTACATTTAATCATTATGATGTAATTGCAGAGAAACTACACATTACTACCAATTTCTGAAATGCTAAAAATCCAGTCTAGTCATCCATCAAGTGAAACCTAGCAGATACACCGTAGGTCATTCAAAAAGATCATGAATTCTTGCAGGACTCATTTCATTTAATATTAATATAAATTTGCAGACATTAACTTTAGTTCCCTACCACATCTGTTTTTGACTTCCAAAAATAATACTGCTATATTACTGTCAAAACAATGAAGGTCTAGTAAAGTAGTCCCAAGCAATGAAAACAGTTAGAATATCAAATTATTATTACTGCCACTACTTTACTAACATTTTAATGTATAATTAAAAAAGTACATTCAATTTTGTAGCCACAAGAGGGCACAATTACTGGGGGACACAAGACAAGCTAGACTCTAGGTAGATATAAAATACAAAGACTAATGCAGCTCTGTATTTTTTTTATAACTTCCCTATTCTTTTTTTTTTACATGCATGCAGTGTAAGTACTTGGATTTGACTTGATATAAAGGAGATACATGAAGAAACAAGAGGAAATATCTCTAAAGTAAAGGAAAAATTACTCTTAAGCAGTTGTCTTCATTAAAGTGACACTTAACTCAGGAGTTGATTCTTAAAAATGTATTCAACCTTAACTATTAACAAAAATGTATCTTATTTGTATATCACTCGGCTGTAGATTCTGAAATCATCTCTGGATTGGTGCTGACACTGTCCTCCCTTCTGGGGGGTGGCTACTTTTGTTCCCCATTGTCCCTGTGCGTGTTGTAAAGTAGCCACCACTCCAAGCTCGCTCCTGAGATGAACTACAATCTCAATACAAATTAGTAAACTTAATGTAAAATTGTAGTCCATCAGTGGTTCCAACTTCTCACCCCTCCATCAAAAATGAACAAAAAATGTTGGCTTAAGATACACTTTAAGTCCATTTTTAAGAATACTAGAGTTCTCCTTTTACTTTTCTCCTACTGCAAAAAGATAAACAAAGTGTTTGTGATTTCATGAGCTCCTTAGTTTATAAGCAATATCCTGCTTTTTTTATAAGACAAATCTCCATTAAAAGAAAGGTGTACTTCCTTCTAAGAAGGCTAGTTGCCTATATCTGATTTCAGTCACTGCTCTGAAACAAGCATACAAATTACTGTACATAGCACAGTGAAGTCCTGACCTTTATATTCCAGGTCAGAACCTTAAAAAAGTACTTGCAGCAGACCTTCTCCTATTAAAATAACTTTTTGCCCTTGGTGTCTCACCCCTCACTCTAGAAAGGATTGTCACCAGCACACTAAAAGTTTTGAAGCAAAAAGTCCTTTATTGACAAATTGCCATCCAATACAAGCGCTTTCGGGGTCTCAGCAGTACCCCTTCATCAGGCTCAGAATGATGAAGGGGTAGGACTTTTTGCTTCAAAACTTTTGGTGTGCTGGTGACAATCCTTTCTAGATCTGCACTGTTCACGGGGCCGTCCGTGGTCACTACAAGCACCCACCTGCTTGGCAGGTTTACTACTATTCCGGTAAGAAGTGCAGCTGGTTCTTGACTACATGTATCACCCCTCACTCTTCCACAATTTTTTAACGGGTTAAGTACCTATTTGTGCTGCAGGCTCACACCTTCTCCTTCTTCGCCTAGTCGAACATCCTCCACTGCCTCCTGGGATATCCACATCACACATTGTAGGAGGCAGTTTTACTGGGGGGAGCACATGCACGCTGTAAGATTTCACACAAGCAAAGACATGGCACTGCTTTCTGCCAGGTATTAGTGAACTGGCAGAGACCTGCAGCATATCTGCGTATGTGCAGGATATTCCTAGGCACATACGCTGCTATTCTCTACAAGGTCCCAGATACCAGTAGCCAGTGGCGTGTGTGCACCATGCATGGGAAACTCTCCCAGCCTGGCCAGACATGATACAGGTCTTTGGGACCTAACAGAGCTGTGGCACATCTGCACACATGTGGAATATCTGAAGATAGCAGCACGGAAAAGGAGCACAGGGAACAGTATATTGCAGAGGTGAACTTCCTCTTTAGGGCACTGGATCAGCTTGACATTAAGGCAATTGGCATTTCCAAAGGAGAAGTTAGCAATGGCAGTCTCTATACACTGAGTGGCCAGATTATTATGACCACCCCATCAGTCCTTCGTTGGGCCACGAGATGACTCCACGAGATGACTTCGTTGGGCCGCCTCGTGACTCCACGAGATGTTGAAAGGTGATGCGAGGAATCTGACACTGCACTGTTGCCCTTCTGTTGTCTTGTACCAGTCTTGCCACTCTCCATTCTGCCCTAACACTGACTAGTCGCTGACGGCCACAATTCACACGTTCAGACCCAGATTTTCGGTTGACAGTCCAGTCTTTAAACACTTTAACAATGAGCCCCTCTTGAACATTTAACGAATTCTGCTGTTTTGCTGATACTCGCTCCATGGCTCCTCCAACAATCATCCCACGTTCAAAGGCTGTTAAATTGCGTTGTTTACCCATATCTTCAGAAAAAAAATCACTTCTACTGTTGTGATAAACAACCTGCTTCCCTATTTATAATGGTCTGGCCCTCTAGCAACTTCAGTGCGATTATAGCTAATTATAGCTAATTTGCCTACAAACGTCAGGTGGTCATAATAATCTGGCCACTCAGTGTTTACTCTTTGAACAGACTTCATTTAAAGCATCTCTTAACCCAAGAACAACATTTACCAAATTACCGGTCCTTAGATGTGATGGCTGATTAGTTTTCTTTTTTTTCCAGGCTTTTTTTTCATTTAATTTTTGCCTGCTGATCCTTCCAATAACACACTACCTGTCATATGGTGGCAATGCTCACTCAATGCACTGTGTCTATAAAGGAGCAACATTGTCACCCTAGGCTGGAAGAACTGGGAAGGCTGATGCATCAGATTTCAGGTCAGTGCACATGACGTTACAAGAACACTGTATTTTTTGCATGATTAACTGACATCTGTACTTGCTGAAGATGCACTGGAAAGAAGAAAACTAATGTGACTACCACATCTAAGACTGGTCATTTTTAATTTAGGTTCAGATATTCTAAAGAAACATTTTGACTCTTTGGAATTTAATATTGAACAAGATGTACAGTGCCTTGGATGTCTGCATATTTACCTAACTTTTTTAAGGAAATCATTACATATCAGTTAACACTCTAAAACATTTTTACTCGTATACATATAGATATTTGAGAAAATCTCAAGGGCCCCATTTAT